ACGATTATTAGTCAAATATGAAATAGCGGTGACATATGTGACAAATTTTTGTAATTTCTATTCTATATTGTAATTGTTAAGAAAAATATCATTTTCATGTAAAAGGTTTTTTAATTAAGAAAAAAAAGAAATCTTGAAATTGTTTTTCAATCTTCTATTTAATGAAGAAGATAAAATTGTCCAATGATTATTGATATTTACAACACATAAAAAATTCATGATAAGTTAGAGATCCAAGTATTAGCTAAATAAGCTAGTGATCCAAGTATTAGCTAAATAAGCTAGTGATCCAAGTATTAGCTAAATAAACTAGTGATCCAAGTATTAGCTAAATAAGCTAGTGATCCAAGTATTAGCTAAATTAGCCAAGTTAGGTGCTATTTGGCAGTATTAATTCTAATTTATTCTGTCGCAGTAAGAAAAAAAAAAAAAAGGAAAAGGAAAAACTGAAATCATTACGGTAACGAATTAAAATTAAATGAAATGAATTCATACGAATTCATTTCATTTTTTAATGTTAAATTAATGTACGCAAAGGATAAAAATATGTTACATCTGTCATTTGTCCCCTTCCCCCCTCCCCCTCAAGAATACGACAATTGTTTTTAAAAATTAGTACTTCGTCTCTTGTATCCATTATCAAATAATTCATCCTATACATTTTATTTTAATCCAAATTAACATTCTTTCATTACTATTTTTTCTTTACTTAAAAATTTTATAAATTAATTCACTTATCATTGTGAAATATTATCATTCACAGTGATAAGTGGATTGTATATCATATATGGTAAAAATTTCACCGTTCATAGAAGATGATTCTTTTTACTATTTTCTTTTTTTTTTTTCCTTATTCATCCTGTCATGCATTTTGAAGGCTTTTAAACTTTTGCGCCTGATTTTTGCGCATTTGTTACTTTCTTCTTTTCATCTTTTTTCTCTTCTTTTCTATCTTCTCTTCTAATTTTTATTGCTGCAAAAATCTTTGCTCATAAAAGTAAAAGCGTAAATTTTACAAAATGTCATCAAATTTTCTTCATTCTCTCCATTACCTTAACATCATTTAATTTGACTATTTTATCATTTTTATTGTCATTATGAGACATTTAATTAAGCTCCTTCTTACTTTTTACTAATTATTTCATAAAATATAATACTGCTATAGACTGATAACCTTTAAGACTGTTACAGAAAATTTGCTTTAATATGGAAATATTCAGATTTTTTGATTTTTTTTTTTAATTTCCAAAATTTGCTGAATAATTTTCATTGAAATTTTTATACATTCAAAGCACTCAGTAATCAGTTTACTTATCAATGTTACATTAAATACAAGCATTGATTGTGCTAAAGATAGAATTCAACTAATTCAGTAACAGTAATTTTCATATATGATAAAATTTTTCCCAAATGAGAAGTTATCAGTTGGTTTTGATAACCGTTATGGATTAAATACAGGTTTAAAGTTTAAAAAACTCTAATTAGATTGCTAATTGAGGTTTAGCTTTTTATCACTTATTTCTTATCTTGCTATCAAGATTTTAGAGATGACAAAAATCAGAAAGGTCAAAATTCTTCACCTGTCTTGAAATTAAATTACAATCATGATAATTTTGATTGAAATCTGCCTTCAAGTATTTTTAGGTTTTCAATTATAATTTATAATTTTAATTTAGTATTCAAATTTTCCGTGGAAAATTTCACTCGTGCTTCTTGTAATTTTGTTATTCCATTTAGAGGAATGAAACTGATGAAATATGAATATTGGATTTTGAATCAGGCATATATTTTTATTTCTTCATTAAATGTTAGACTATACTTCTATCAGAATTGATCTCTCATAAAAGCACCATTAGATGTCATCTCTGTGTCCTAGCAATCATGTTAAACGAAAAGGCTTACTTTCATGTAATTTACAGAAAGTCATGTCGTTGAAGTAACATTTATTAAATTACTCTGACATAAAATTATTCCTAAAACATGTCAACAAATTAAGAACTCTCATTAAAATTCTATAAATTTATTTTTCACTAATATTAATTACTGAATCTGATAAAAAATCTTTTTCTATGATATGCGGTAAACTTCAGAAGGTAGGTTGAACAATAAGCTCTAATAATTATCAAATCCTTTCGAGTGGTTCATCTAAAACAATCTCCAACATGTCGGTCTAATAATCACTAGATAAGATGACGCAACTGGACAACTGGTGACTCATCAAAATTTTCATGAATTGAATAAAAAGCTTTTCTAAAGATTTCCATTTGCAGAATTATTAATTACTTTCTTTTCTTATCAGACATATTCAAATATAGCAAATTTGCATATCGTATAAAATATTCATATGAAATGAATTTTATGGATATTACTCAATCAAGTATTTTCAGATTTATCGTTGTGGTTAAGTGGTCGGAAAAAGAGTTACTTCCGGTTTTGACGATCAGGTTGTTTCGAGAGTGGTAATACGGAACAGAACCGTCAACTCTGGGAATCATTCGGTACATTCATGTTTTCCCTTTAGGATTATTCGATCGCTTGAAAGGTTAGAAATTCATAAAATTTTTCAAAATTTTATTCTAATTTAAATGTAATTTCTATCCTTTGCTATTGAAAATATAATATTTTCACCATATCATTTTAGTATCAGAAATTGATCAGGAATTAGCTTTTCTTTTCCAAAAATTTAGAACTTGCTCTGCAGATCATGTTCAATATTGATAATTAATTATCTTAAGCAATAAGGACTGATACTTGATTAATTATTTTTATATGATAACAATAAATAGATGAATATGAGATGAAGAACTGATTATTTTCACAATTCGGCTTATCTACAACCATCTGGTCATCCGCTATCTTCGATAAAATATCCTTGGTGTAGTCAGTCCTTTTTGGTTTATCCCTTTTTTTTTCCTCCTTATCAATTGTCTGTAAAGTTATCATTCGATGTCACATAAACAAAATATTATGAGAAGTGATTGAGAAAATTGATAAATTGTTAAAACAACAAGACAGTTTCAAAGTGACAAATTTTTTTCTTTTGGTTAGTTTTACCTGTAAAAATTATTAAAGCAGAAAGTAATTAAAGATAAACAGAGTTTAGATATTAAAAGAGAAAAAAGAAGGGAGGAGGAGGAGAGAGAGAGAGAGAAGGGGAAGAATGATTTGTAGAAAAGATATTCAAATTTGGTTTTATTTGATTAATTTCATCAAGAATAAATGGCTAAATGATTAATGCTATGACAAATGATAAATACCTTTACCTGTCCTTAGATAGTATGAAAAAAAGGTAATTGTCTTTACCTATCCTTAGGTAGTATGAAGAAGAAAAGTGGTCCTTAGATGGTGTAAAAAAGAGAGACGATGAAATAAAACTTAGCATAGTACATTTGAAATTGAAATTTAACACATTAATGGATAAAACGTAATGAGGTTTAATCAATTTATTGCATCGAAAAAATGAAAAAAAAATTTTTCTTAAAAATTAAAAAAAAAAATCCATCGATGTTTTACAATAAATATCTAACTTTAAAAATAATATAATTAATATAAGTAATATTCAAATTCAAATTTGTAATATTTTAATTATTTAACTCAAATTTATTGAAAACAAATGTTTTACTGTTTTTTATTTTTGAAAATAAATTTAAAAATTGAATATTACTCATTGGATTTGTTGCATTATTATTGTTACTGAATTGAAAAATTGCGAAGAAAAGATGTGAGAAGAAAAAAAAAGTGATAGTTATAATAGAAAGAAGAATTTTATTCATAAATTTGAATAAAATATTTTCTTTAAAATTTGTTGTTGCAAAAAGGAAAAAGAAAGAAGAGAAAATTTTTTTTTCGACCTTCGTTTTCACTTATTGTTCCATTGTAAAAAGGTCATTTTAATATTTACTTACCAAACATTTTATGTTTAAACTGTTCTTCTATAACTTATTCCTCCTCCTTTACTATCAATGTTTCTTCACTCCTTTATTCCTTCATTCCTTCATTCCTTCATTCCTTCTTCATTCATTCATTCATTCCTCCTTTCATTCATTCATTTCTTCACTTATTCTTTCCCTTCCATTTATTTCAAGGTTAAAATAAAATGAAAATATTTTTGAAATAAACAAAATAGAAAAAATATTCTGTTTTGTTTTGTTTTGTTTTTTTTTTCTTTTTTTTTATTACAGGAAGTGATCAATTGGATTGGAGTTTGAAGAAAAAAAGGCGGTAAAAAAAAAAAAAAAGAAAGAAAAAACGAAAGGAAGAAGTAATTTCTTGTCACGAATTTACGGTGACAATTTACGGTTGCTATTAGTCTTTTTTCTTCCCTTAAAAATTCTTTTGACAAGATGGCATTGAAACGTTCATCAGGTGTGTCCTCACAAAGTTCATCATTTCCATCACCTACTTCATTACTCTATCGAATGTTTCACATACGTCCTAATCAAAGGCGTAACATTCTTCTCAATATTTTATCCTTAATTGGAGCTTATTGGATTATTACAACACTTATTTCACTTTCAAATCGTGATATCGTAAGTTTAAATTATTACAACTTTATCCTTATCAGTTAATATAATCATATTATCATTACATCAATGGATCCTTTTTGTTACGTAAAACGAATAAAGATCACAATTACGTTAAATTATTTAATTTCTCGATTAATTAAGAAATTTGTTCAGTATAATATATATTTTTAAAATTTCAAAATCGATGAAACATAGCGCAGCTAATTGATCATATGTCATCCATAATTGATCAAGCAAGATCATTGCAATGATATTCAAGAATTCATGATAATATTATTGAATGAACAATTTTCAAATGTCTTTTTAAGGATTAATTTATAAGTGTTATATTTAAATCCTTGAAAAAAAAAAAGTTTCAGGATGGTCAGGTACAGGGACGTGGATTATTGCTGAGGGAACCGGTTGGTCGACAGTTACAATTACAAGAAGAAGGTTTTGTCGCAATCGATGATTTCAAATATCAAGAAAATCGCAAGAACAACAATAAGAGTAAGGATGAAAATCTACAAATAGTTCGTGCTCACAGAAATCTTCCAGAATCAATCAATAATGAAAAATTAAAAAAGTCCGAACAAAGCGATGAAATTCCCGGTGAAGACAATAATGGATTAGAAAAGGTACAGATGGAAATGTTTTGTTTCTTTTAATTTCAAAGAAATTTCAATCAAATTTTATATGAAAATTCATAAAATTATAAAAAATTTTACAAATTTTACTTAAAAATTCCTCCTTTTTTTTTTTTTTTCAGCCAAATATACCACAACCAAAACGTTTTGTCTATATGGAAGGTAGTCCAATTTATAAACAAGGTGATCCAAATCAACCTGGTGAATTTGGTACTGGTGTTAGAATTGATAAAAGGTATTTAAATTATACAAATATGTTATGCAATCTATTTCATATTTCAATCAAAAAATTCATATTAGAAAATCGAATTTACCGTAATGAATGAATGATTCATCAAGTTAAAAATATGATAACATAACGAGGAAAATTTTTACCATTAATCAGTCCTTCTATTCATTGTTTTTTTTTTTTTTTTTTTTTTGTTTTATATTTTAATACATATGCAAAGAGTAAAGATTAAAAAAAAAAAAATCATTGGCATCATTTTGCAGAAATTATCACCAAAAGAGCGTAAATTGTTTGATGAAGGATTTAAGCGAAATTCTTTTAATGAATATGTATCCAATATGATTTCCATACATCGATCACTTCCAAATAATACCGACGAATTGTTAGTATAATTTTAAAAAAAAAAAAAAAAAAAAAGAATATATATATTTAATGTTCTTTTTCATTAAAATATTTTATTTTGTTAAAAATTTTTACTCACTTTTTTCTCATACATTTCAAATTTTTATTTAATTTTTTTTTTTCTAAAATTTATTATTTTGTTCATTCTTTTCTTTTTAGGACAGTTTAATTTCGTTTTATTTAAATAATGGAAAAAAGGAATAAAGGATGGATGGAAGAGAGAGAGAGAGAGAGAAAAAAAAAATTGTCTGAAATATTTCTAATAGATCTTTTAAAACAATTTTTATTGCGATAATAGAAAAAATGATAGTAATTAGTAAAAATTATTACATTCATGAGAATTGTGACAATTTTTGTGACAAAATTCATTCTATCAGTTTAGCGAAATTTAATTTTTTCATATCTGTTAAATAATTACTTTATGTGTGAAAAAAAATTAACTTTGTGCAAATTTTGTAAATTTAAACTTAAATATTTGTAAAGTTTTCCTATACATCTAAATTAAAAATTTTACAAAATTTCAGATGTCAAAAAGCATCTTATCGCAATGATCTACCAGATACATCGGTGATTATTTGTTTTCACAATGAAGCGTGGTCAGTACTTTTGCGCACAGTGCATAGTGTACTGGAAAGAACACCTGATCATTTACTTAAAGAAATTATCCTAGTCGATGATTTCTCCGATTTTGACCACCTAAAGGTAGTAAAATGATGAAGCATAAACAAGTAATTTTGGCTTTTTGATAAACTGTAATAAATTCTTATCTTCCAGATATCAGGTATAAGCAAGTGGTAAATCGTTCAATGATAGTGTCACCATAATGATAGCCTAATGATAGTAATGATAGTGTCACCATAATGATAGCCTAATCTATGCCTGGTTTATTGATAGTTTATCATTTTTTCTTTTTTTTTTTTTTTTTGGAGAGGGAAGGAGAAGTAGTAGAGCTTATCATCGTAAGTTAACTTTGTCTGATACATTTCAGGTAACTTTGCCATTTATAGTAAGTAGTGCTTGCCAAATTTCATTCAATTATATTATCATTTTTTGATAATCGATTAGCATCGATTAGGCTTACAATTATCTATCAATCGAAATTAGCTATGCATTTTTAATGAAATTAACTATCTTTATTTGTATACATCCAAATACTACCATAGATTATACTTTAGATTAACATTAATTGATTATGCTACCTAATCAAGGTGATATCAAGATAAGTGTTGAAATTAGCGCTCAACTTTTCGCTTCAATTTCTTCAAAGATTCTCATTAATATAATGATAGTTCTGGTAATAAAAGAAGATTCGTTTATTTCTAATTTATTTTCATCGTTTTGGTTTATAATCATATGAAGGAAGGGAAACCGGATCCGGTATGATTTGAATTGAATTTCCAGAAACCATTGGAAGATTATATGAGTCAATTTGGTAAAGTTCGAATAATAAGATTGGAAAATCGGATGGGTTTAATCCGTGCTCGTCTTAAAGGTGCTTCAGTTGCAACAGGCAAAGTATTGACATATTTGGATTCACACTGTGAATGCATGAATAGTATGTAAATTTCCGATTTTTTTTTCTGAATAACTTTTGGAGTTCAAAATTTAAAATAAAATTGAAATCTAAAATTTAGCCATAACATTTATTTATTTATTTGAACCTTTCTATATTTGTTGTTTTCATTTTTAATTCTACTTTCTTTTTTTTTTTTCTTTTTTCGCAAAAGCATTGATGCATAATTTTAGGATGGCTTGAACCGTTGCTTGATCGAATAGCACAAAATTCGACAAATGTAGTAACACCTGTAATTGATACAATTAACCTGGAAACATTGCAATATCATTTGTCGAGTCATCGTCGTTTGAGTGTTGGTGGATTTAATTGGGGTCTTGTTTTCAATTGGCATATATTACCGGATCGTGATTATCAAGCAATGAAATCACGAATTGATCCCATACCGTTCGTTATTCTTATTATTTTAAGAAACTAATTAATTTAATATTTAAATAATAGGAAGTTGACATAGTATTAATGGACAATTCTTAATCATAAAGTTGCTAAGAAATTAAACATTTTTAGTTCACCAACAATGGCTGGTGGATTATTTTCCATTGATCGAGGTTATTTTGAAAAACTTGGTGGTTATGATCCTGGCTTTGATATTTGGGGTAGTGAAAATCTTGAAATATCATTTAAGGTGGGAAAATTTTTTTCTTTCTCAAAAATTTTTTTATACTAATTTAAATTATCTTTTGTTATATTCTGCTGATTTGAACAATGAAGTAATATTTAAAATGAAGGCATTGAAATTTCCAGATTTCGTTTTTTTATTTCATTACATTTTTCATAGATATGGATGTGTGGTGGACGATTGGAAGTGGTACCATGCAGTCATGTTGGTCATATTTTTCGTAAAAAATCACCTTACAAATGGAGGAAGGGTATTAATGTATTACAAAGGAATAATATTCGATTAGCTGAGGTATTTTCTAATTTTAATTAAATTAGAGGAAGTTGATGGAGCATTTTAGAAGCTAAAATTTGTGCTGTAATTTGTAAATTTTTTATTAATTTATTAGAATTTTCACCTAGATATTAAAAAAAATCTTTTGATCTTTGATTGAAATCTCCTACTTTTTAATACTAAAAGTAAGTTGCTTATTAAAAAAATCTATAATTGTTATTTTCATTTTTCAATGAATAATAATAATAATAAGAGTAATAATAATTGAAAATTTTATGATCACTTTTGAATTTTTTAAATTTCAAAATTATTTTAAGGTATGGTTAGATGATTACAAAGAAATTTACTACAATCGGATCAATCATAAGCTGGTATTCTATTCACATAATATTCATTAATAAAGTTCAGAAAAAAAAATGTATATATGAACTGCTTGGTATTACTTTATTTTCCTATGAATAATCATTCCAAAAATAAATCTATACATGAACTAAAAATAATAAAGAAAAGAAATGAACGAAATTATTTTCATTATTAATCTAATATAACAGTCATCAGTTAGTTTATGAAATTAACTGCAAATATCACAATGATAATAATCTTTACTTACAATAAATAATGACAATTACGATATTTTCTTATGGAATTTCTTCCTCTAATTAGATTTGACAATGTATCATTTATGATATTTTTCTTTGGAGATTTGAAAATGTATCATATTTTTACAAGAATTCAATTGAGTGCTTTTTTTTTTTTTTTTTTCGTCAACAAATAATAATTTAAGGTTGATTTTGGCGATGTATCAGAGCGAAAGAAATTACGAGAACATTTGAAGTGTCACTCATTTAAATGGTACTTGGATAATGTATTTCCAGATTTATTTCTACCATCGGAAGCAATTGCAAGTGGTGAAGTATGATTTTTTCTCTTTTATTTATTATTCATCAAATATATTCATTTCCATCGATTTCTCTCTCTCTAATTCATTTAACATTTTCAATTTTTCTATCTTAATTTTATGCAACAATTAGACTATTTATATCTTTACAAAACACATAGTAACTCTTTATTAAAATATCATAAAGTAAGTGACAAAAAAATTTACTAGAAAAAATATTTACACTTTTTTTAAACTTTAAAAATTAATTTCTGGTGATTTTTAAATATTATGAACTTTATGAAATTAGTCAATACATGAATTTATTCACATCATTTCATTTCAATCGTAAAATATAGGATTTAATTTTTAAGATTCGTAATCTTGGTAATCAAAAGTATTGTGTGGATCATGATGTTGGTCGAAATGCTGTAAATGATAGTGTTATACCATATCCATGTCATTTGCAAGGCGGTAATCAGGTATTTGTAATAAAAAGAAAATTATATCCAATAAATGAATTCATAGAGTGATAATATGATTGTTGATTATTACTCATTTTTCAATTTTATACTATCATTTATTTGTGCATAATTCTTTTGCTAATTTCTTTTATTAACAATTTATAAATTAATTCCATCTTTGTCATAAATATAATTTTAGTTTTGGATGTTAAGTAAAAGTGGTGAAATACGACGTGATGAATATTGCATTGATTATACAGGTCGTGGTTCACCAGTAACTTATGAATGTCATGGTTCCAAAGGTAATCAACTTTGGGATTACAATCATGAGGTTAGTTTTCATGTATTTATGAATTAAAATTTTATAAAAGGATTTATCTTAAAAGGAAACTGTTATTCAATTCTTCCTAGTTTAAAACATCTAATCATTTTTGAATCTTTAAAAGGTCTAATTGAAATCATTGAACTTGAAAAAATTTCATTATTTATTTTATCTTGATAATTTGATAACAGATACCATACAAATTTATCTCATCTATAGGTTCATTTTGTATTTTTTGTTTTATTTCTTTTGTTTTTTTTTTTAAGACTGGTCGATTATATCATCCAGTATCACGTTACTGTTTAACACTAAGCGGTGATGATACGATGCTGGTAATGAGGATTTGTGATGATAAGAACGAAAGACAACGATGGAGGTTTCAACATTTCAATGAAACATTGGCTGCACAAGCAACAAGTAATATTAAATTAAAATAATCTTGACAAAATTTTTAGTCATAACATTTTTACAAATTCAAGGTAAATATAAAAACTGAAAATTATTCTAGATTATTCTTTTTGAATTCTTTAAGATTTTTGTAAGAAATTTGGAAACAATCAAGTTAAAAATTTCCATTCTTTTCAAACATTGAAAAAATTTCCATTTATCAGCAGTTCAAATACAAATGTTGTAAAATTAAAAGAAAAAATTTCCACTATTATTAATGATCTATAAATAATGTTAGTTAATTAGTGAGAAATTAATGATTTATAAATAATATATTGGTTAATTAGGGAGGTAATTTACCATATACATAAACATCTCTTATTTAATAACTATAAGTTATTAGTTTTGTAAATGTTTATCCGTTGAATAATTTATTACATGTATCTTTTCGTTCTGTACAATGTTCTTTTCTGTTCCAAAGAGTAAATAAAAGTGACACTAAGGTGCATCAATTATTACTAATTAATTGATACACTGTAAGTTTCATATGCTATAAGATCTGATATACATCAATCAATACCTTATTGTACTAAGCCTAAAATGTTTGATTTAAATTTTGATCAGAAATAAACAAAATTCGAAAAACAACCTTTTAATATTAATTTTTAAATATGTGCGTTTTGTTTTCCTTTTTTGGAATTGATTTCTGATTTTAGCCAAATGTTAATGAAAAGTTTTTTTTTCTTCATTTACATTTTCATTAATAATATATTTTTCAAAATATTTTGTTAATTCAAAAAAATTTTCTTCAAACAAAAAAATAGGTATTATATGCATATGTTTGTTGTGACATTGCCATATCTTCTCAAATAATGTGACAAGATTTCTTGGTCTTTTAAAAGACTTGTCAACTATTCTTCCTTCTCGTCAATGATAAAAAAAAAAATATCGGATTAAGTTTGTTTAGCTGCTCAATTGTATATTTTCACAATTGTTATCAATACCATTGGATGAAATTTATTTAATAAATTAAACAGACAATACAATAATACTTATTAAATATCACAAACTATACCTTTTGCACATAATGTTTAATATGCAAATAAGTCAATTATTATTGTTTATTCTATTCGCAAGGGACAATAGAAAAATTGAATTAAATAATTAAAATATTGTGTGCTATAGGTGAAATTAATGATGGGATGGTATGTGTACATTGTATACTTACACTTTTGTAATTGCCAATAATGTATGAAATTAATTTACCATTTAATTTGTGTCTTTCCTGTCATACTCTCTAAGGAAGATAAGTTTGCCGTCCAATTGTATTTGAATGAATTCAATTGCATCTATTTTATCTGTGAGTTGATTGTTCGATTTAATGATTATTTCGATTTCATCAATTTTTGGACATTTTTTCTGCAATTTTTAGTATTGCGAAAGAGTTTTTCATTCACATACATTCTACTGAAAGAAAAAAAGAAACTCACAGAATGAGAAGGATGACATTATAGCTATTGTTTGATGAAAGAACATTCCAGTCACTTTTGGAACAATTTGTTAGTTTTGCTCAAAATGATATCATAAAGAATTTAACGATTTGTTATTGTTATTGTTATTGTTATCGTTGTTGCAAAATCATTTTTGATAGGATGGCATAAAAGAACAGAATGAGACAAAAACAAAACTTCCATTAACACCACAAATTTTACCGTCTAATAAAGCTTGTTAATTATCCTTAATTGTTTCTAGCTAATGAAGCAATTCATCAAACTAGTGGATACGGAATCATTGTCATGAGAGAGAAGCTTATGAGTCCTTATGAGAATGTAAGCAATGCTAACACAATGGCTTGTGTCTCCGGCAGGGTCTCTCATGCCAGAGATGTCTCAACTGAAGAGCAGACAAAGTGTGTGCACGAGCTGGATAGGCTCGTTAGTCTGCCTCCCGGTGATCATCCTAGGAGAAGGACATTCCAAACCCGGGCAGATGAAGCTCATTTAATCTTGTAAGACCATCCATCTAAGAGAAGGACACTCCAACAATATCTATCATTGATATCCTTAGAAAGGTGGCCAGTTCCACGCATGCTATATCTTACCCAAAAAATCCACTGCGCAGGCCGGAAGGATACATTCACATTTGTGGTAGC